TGTATGTATGTATGTATGTATGTATGTATGTATGTATGTATGTATGTATGTATGTATGTATGTATGTATGTATGTATGTATGTATGTATGTATGTATGTATGTACATGTACGTAATAATAGTTTTTGTAATATATATTATTATATTGGATTGTCCGAAAAATTTGTGCCGATGTTGAAGGAAAATTAAAACGCAGAAAATTTAAATTTTAGTATACATTTATTAAATTATATAGGTTAGTCGGCACGAACTTTCCGGACAACTCAAATAATAGTTACATATATATAATTCTTCCGTCAATATTACTTCTTCTTCAATATTACTTCTTATTAATGGCATCTGCCTTGAGATAAATTGTTGGTAAACAAGACATATTAGTTCCGAAGTATATTATTTATTAATTCCCTACATTTCCGCCTTTCCGCTACGATCCTTAGCTAAAAAGTTACGTGAACAATTTCACATTTTTACAGTTGGAAATTAAGTCCATTCTATAATGGACAGTAGCAGTACTGGATTAAAGAGTAATCAATTAATCATAAATTAAATCAATTAATCATAATCGAATGTGAGAAGGATAATCAATTGATGATTAGTCGATTTTTATGTCTACTCTTTGATTCACTATTGCTACTGCCCATTGTAGAAAGGGCTTTACATGATCTCTCGAAATCATAGATGATCATAGAGTTCACATGAAATTTTTCACTTTTCACATTTCCACCCTAGAGGAAAAGTTACATGATTGACCCCCTAAGAGTTCTTTAGAACAAAAGAAAGAATTACTGAAGTGTTTAAAAATGCATTTTACAGCTTGAAATTTCTATTTTTTAAGTTGGTACTGAAAGATCCTTTGATTTGCGAGCATTTTCGGAAGAACTTTTTTTGGAGGACAACGATTAATTTTTTTCTAATTATTTATAATTAAATGGACAAAGGTATATCGGATAAAATTGATTTAATTTAATAAAGAATATAGTCAATCAATACAACGATCTTATCATTTCTATAATCGAAACAAAAGTCAACAACGCGTCTGTCTTTTATAAACAGCCGTCATTAAGGAATAGTGCATCGAGATGGCAACGAGTTTAAGAGTAACGCCGAATAGCACAAGTGGCGCATCAGTCGCGGAGTGAGATTATTTCTTAGGAGCTCCGTACAATAAAAGGAACAGAGAACAGAGAATAAGAGTTTTAACCTATCAGAAATCGTGTATTGTGAAATACACAGTTTCTGAGGTTGAAATTATTCTCTGTTTTCTGTTCCCTTTTATTGTGCGGAGCTTCTTACAGTACTTTAAATACTGATATTTTATGGAATTACACACTAACATAAATGAAAATGCATCAAATCTCAAAATTTTTAATGAAATTTACGAATTTCCACGGCGCGAATGAAAAATTGCATGAAACTCTTTTGAATTCTGTAAACCGCATTTGTGTGCAATTTTCAGAATGAACTGACATGGCAGAATCAACAGCGCGCGACTAGAAACGATATTCGCGATGCTTGCGATATATCGCCATAATTGCGTCATCGAGACTATATTTGCTTTGGCATTCGCGACGCTTTAAGCATCGTTTCATCCTTGTTTAATAATTATTAAACAAGGATAATTGATGCATACAAATATTATGAGCGACAAAGCGAACGCAGCCTAGATGAGAACATGAACACTTTGGCGCTGTTTCCGTTCACACATTCAACACCACGCATATCGGCACGCCAGCCGTTCTGTGTGTTTGATCCTCTCAGCTGATTTGTGCGAATAGTTCTACAACAAAATTTCAGCAAATGACGTAACCGGATGTCATCGATCTATTCTGCTTAATTTACTCGATGCTGCGACACAGTATATTTCCGTCGCGTTCGTGTATGTACGTAAATCAGCGACACTGAGAAGAAGACCGGTAAACAGAACCTACAGGAATCCAGCTCTGACAAGTCGACGGACAACTGGGCGGGTCGGGATCGTACGCTTCCGGAGTGCGCCAGACGACACACGTTGCTCGAGGATGACGTAACTCGACGGAAAAAGACACGCTTGGGCGACCCAAGGTTTCAAGGTTATGTCCGTCGTAAGCACTGTGAGACGGTAGCGAACGTTCGTCGTCGCCATCGCGACGAGTTCCTGTAGAAGACATCGTCGTCGTCGTCGTCGTCATCTCGTTTTTCATCTGCTCTCGGCCATATACATGTTTACACGTACTGTCTGTACTGATTATTGCGTGTTCTGATGAGATTAAAGTAAGTACGCGTTGCCTCTCGTTGCGTGATATTGTTACGTTATACAACGTAATTATTAGTAATTATGTAAATTCAAAACAAAGAGCTTTTTGTCTAATAAGTTATGATATAGAACTATATTAAGGTGACCAACTGTTTTAAATTAGGAAGGACAAATTTTAACTTTATTCTACTTTACATGTCCTAAATTTTGTCCTAAATTAAGGACATGATTATGAATTGTTTCTGTTTTAAATAAATAATAAATGTGAAATAATAAGTGAAAATAATAAGTATGAAATAAATTTTCAACTAACATTTAAAAAATTTTGATTTTTTTTATTTAAAAATTCAGATATTATATTCATAAAATACATTTAGAAAAATGGAAAGAAAAAAATGTGATTTTTGGTGTAGAACTTGGTATAATTTTTGTGATCTTATGTGATGCATTATTTTAATCAGCATTATAAAAGCAACCACATATTAAAAATTTTGCTAATTTGACAGAAATTAGTTTTTTTTATAAGAATATAGAGGATTCTTTATTTAAATGTATATAGATATATTATTTCAACATCAGATTTGGAAATAATAAACATAAATAGACTCTCTTAGTTGATTTATTCATACAATTTTGTTTCTATATTATTTATTGTGTGTTACTAGAATATTTGTGATTTCATTCAGGTCATACATACACAACTAATAAATTTTTTACTTCTGTAATTTTTACATTGTTTTAAGATATACAATCGACTCTCTATAATTAGAGATTACTTTTTTATGAACACCTGAGATTTTTATTAAGTTTAATTTTTATTTGTATTACATTCACATATTATAGTAGTTTTCCATTTACACCTAAACTCAGATAATTCTTATTTATGATGTCATAATGCACATTCCTTTCCAACAAATGAAATTCAACAGAATTTTTATCTACAATATGCAAAAGCTTGAGATACATTAGGCTTTACTGAGTCTTGTTAACTTACATTAAAAGTAGGATTTATAAACCTGTATTGTTATGCAATAACTTTGTCACCAGAATAAACAAGTAATGACATCATTGAGTATAAAATACTCACATAACTTTAGACTCAGTCATCACTTGTGTGAAAATAGAAAGCAACTTGTAGTCAAACTTGTAGTGTCAAATTATATAGCTGTTATCAAATGTGAAATGGACATAATTACAAATAATAATGTCCAAGAGAAAAATACATTATAATATAAAATACATTGTAATATAAAATTTTAATAAACTGATTTCGAGTTTTGAACCCATCAACTGACTAGTAGGATTTTAGTTTTAGAATGGTATGGAGTAGTCTCCAAGACTATCTATACTCATTCGACTGTGCTACTAGTGTAAGAAATTCTATTTGTTGTGATATTTTATATATCTTTATTTATATCTGTGATTATATATCTGTCATTTAAATTATAGTTTGGCAAAAATGTGCTACAATTATATTACATACATTTATTTGCATATATTATATACATATATTTATTTGCATATATCAATATATAATATTATCTTTGCTTTAATGATAAGATAAATTTAAGCTGACTGGATGTACATAATGCGTCAGAGCATAAATTCTGTTTCAAGGAACAGATAATGCTTTGTCAGAGAAAAATAGGTGGTACAATTTCAAACATGGTAATTCAATGAAACAAAATTTTAATCCAATTTTGAGATACAATTGTAGTAACCCTCTATTGAGTGGAAGGTACTGAAGGGTACTAAACAGGAAAAAATTAAATTAAACTTGAACTTCGAAATTGGATTAAAATCTTACTTTGTTCAAAATTGTATTACGTTTAAAACTATGTCACCTTATCTTATAAATTTTTATCAGTTGCTTATTAGTATTTACAAAAGTTTTGTTTTAAATTATAACGTGGATTATCTGTTATAATATGTGTGCATTAAAATATAATTTTTTAAATCGTTAGCTGAAGTACTGAATTGAAACAAAAATTCGTAATGCTACTTCTTTGTATCATATCGGCATTTAAAAAAAAATTAGCAAATATATTATTTGATATAAGAATTTTCTTACGTCATGATTGAATCTAATAAAAATCTCAGTTGTACACATAAAAATATTTTTTTCTTAAGTTACACTGTAGTAATAAGTATAACTTATTAAACATAAGTGTCTTTATTTTAAAAGCCATAGTGTCGCAACACAGAGGAATTACAGAATTTGATTGAGAAAAAACGAGAAAAAAACCGGTAACAAAATGGTCTTCGAATCTATTGTTGCGGAGCTCCTTAACAAGGTGATCGGCGAGTACATTGAGAATTTGGATTATAGTCAGCTTAAAGTCAGTCTCTGGGGAGGTAAGAATGCAATGTGATTTTATTACTCGATAACAATTATGTATTGTAAAAAAAAACTCTTTGCTTTCAGGCGATCTTGTGTTAAATGATTTGTTGATAAAAGAGTCTGCGTTAGATGTGTTGGACCTTCCAGTGAGATTAGAATATGGTCGTTTAGGTACAAAAATTATTTATTTATTTATTATTTATTAATATAGTATTCATTA